AAAAAAAAAAAAAAGGAAAAGAAATGAACTTCAGCTAGAAGAAAAGTGAACCCAAAGAGAAGGCTTTGGATTCAAGAAAAAATAGTGAGAGGTGATGAAATGTCAGTGAATTTAATTAAGGCTTGATTATAAAAATGATTTTTAAATTTAAAAAAGTCAAATACTCTAGATAACAATGGCAAGATGGGAAAGGAGAGGGCTGTTAAATGGTAAAGTTTGCAAAAATCTTTTGCAGGAATGGGGTGCCTGGGTGGCTCAGAGGGTTGAGAGTCCAACTCTTGATCTTGGATCAGGTCATGATCTCAGGGTCCTGAGATTGAGCCCCAGGTGGAGCCCCAGGCTCAGTGGGGAGTCTGCTTGAGATATTCTTTCTCCCTCCGCCCCTCCCCACTCCCCTGCTTGCTCTCTCTTTCTCTCTAAAATAAGTAAATAAATCTTAAAAGAAAATCTTTTGCAGGAAGAAAGAATTATACAATAACTTTGTTAGAAAAAATTATAGTCAAGTACGTACGTTGGAAAAAAAAAGGACAACTCTTAGAAGAATAGAAATAAAACCTAACACCCTCAAACCAGCAGTGGAAAATGAGGGAATATAGATCATTTCACTAATCCAATAGAAGGCAGGGATGGAGGAAAAGGAAGAATGAAAAAGGATGGCACATGAAAAACATAAAACATGATGGAAGAATAAGCCCAAATATATTAGTAATCACAATTAATGCACAAGGATTAAATTCACCTGTCAGAAATACAACTAAAATAAAACTTAACAGAAAGATTCAATCTAATGAGATGGAAAATACACACAAACATTAGCCAAAAGAAAGGTAGCATATCGATATCAATATTAAAATGTCTAATTTAATCAATTAGCATAACAACCGTATAAAGAGGCACTACATAATAAGAATCCATTATGATTTTTAATGCAGAATAGCCTTTGAGAAACACTGCCTACTGTGCGCTAGGGATCATGCTGCTTTTTCCACTGCTGTCATCTTCAGGGCTTGGCACATAATAGGTGTGCCATAAATACTGCTGAGTGGAATGTTTACCACATTGTATTGAAATGATCTGTTCGTGTGTTTCTTATACACAGGGGTAGGGACTGTGTCTTAGTCAGTTTCATGCCATCAATATTCAGCACAGCACCTGGCACACAGTAGGCACTCCATAAATTCAACTGAATTCAAGGTTAATCTCTTCCATAAAATCTCCCCTAACTGTTCCTGCCCATAATGATTTACCCTTTGTTTCCACTTCTATAGAACTCATAGTTTGAAAAACCCAACTTAGCAATTGATAATACAGTAGTGTCTTTGAGTTTTCTTTCCATGTTTCAAACCTTGTGTCTCCAAAAACATTTTAGGTTCCTTAAAGATAGAGATGTCTTATACTATGCCTAGAGCCTTGAATTAGTATTTTTTAGGGGTTGATGTCACATTTGGATAAATGTAGATTAGATCAGTTGGTGCCAGCCACACATGCCAATGCCTCAAGGGGTATCTCCATTCCCTTTTTTCAATCTTTGACTAACGAAATCACTGTCTGGAGACAGGCTCATATGCAAATAATGTAGAGAAGTTGATGGGAAGGGCAGGAGAAGGCAGCTAGTGTCCAGTTGCAAGACTCTGTGCTCTCTTCCTTCTGGCAAAATAGTCAGAGAGGAAAATGCCTGTGAACCTACAAAAAAATGGGTGTGGGGGGGTGGGAGGGAGATAGAGAAGAGAGCATGCCCCATATACTACTGGACAGAATCTGGACCTGACCCTTCCACTAGCAGGCATGGTATCAGGAGTTTATTATGAGATCAAAAGGAAACCCCACGACAAACAGCTATATTCCCCCACTGGGACCTTGTAAGAGAGAGCTTTTGTTTCCATCTATACACAAGGCACAGGAGGGGAACCTACAATAAGAAGCTCCTAATAGGGAAGCTGCAGAGAGCTGCAGAGAGTGTGGCATCTTCTTGGTGGTCTTCATCGGGTCCTGGAGAGGTTCAATCCCGTCCCTGGGAGGAGGTAGGGAGATGGGCGGGCTGACCTCCCAAGGTCTTCTGTAATCCAGTAATTAACTGGGGACTCGTGCACTTCCCCATTTATGCTCTTAACACACATCTGCACCAGTCTGATAGTAAGTCCCCCGGGCTGCCTTCCAGGTTTAGTACGGCGCCAGACAAGCTGCTGGCACTCAACAAATGGCTCAAATATTTGTTGAATGAAGGAATAAATTCATCAAGTGTTTAAATAGAGCCCACATGACCTCCCCAGCTGTAAAGTACAACGATGAATAAAATCACAACATTCCAGACCCGATCATTTGAGCAGAGCTGGCAAAGGAAAACAAACGCGCGCGCGCGCGCACTCCCACCAGCGCTGATTCAACTAGGTTTCCCACCTTGGGAGCACAGACCACCTGCTCAGCACTGTAGGAGTTTCCTTGGCAAGTATCCTCATTCTCCAGAGAGGCGCTTCCAGAAGGTCAAGTTACCAAGATTTAGGACCGCTTCCCTTACGGGTCGGTCTCCCAAAGTTTCTGCCCGGATTCAGCCTGGGCCTCCCCTGGGCCCGTCCCCCTCCCCCAACCTGGGGCCCCCAGGGCGCGCAGGTCGCCGGCCCGCAGCGCCTTACCTTACCTTGGTGAGCTGGGCGATCTTCTTGCACATTTTCACGTGCACCTCGGGATCCCAGTCCATTCTCCCGTCGGCGTCACCGCGGGCATCAGCTTTGGAGCCCTGGCAAGTCCCGGACGCGTGAATTTTGCTGTTGAGGACAGAAGCCATGGCTATAACGCGTCCAACACTCAAGGGCTCTCGCTCGTGTTCTCGCTGCCCGCGGTGTGCACGTGCGTGCGCGCGCGGGCGTGTGAGCGTGTGGGCTTTCTCCGGAGCGGTGGCACTGCAGTCCCGCCGGCCGCACCGCCGCGCGGCCCCTGCCGCCCCGAGGTGCTGGCCTTTCGGCCGGTCCGCGAGCCCACACTCCCTGCTCCGGCGCTCGCTCGCTGGCTCGCCGGCTCTGCGGGCACCCGCACCCTGCGGCGAGACGCAGAGGATCCGCACGTGCCGCTCGCGACCCGCGCGCCGTTCTCCGGCCGATGAGGGTTTCGCGGGCAACAGTGGAGCTTCCGCGACTAGGAGCCGCCGGCCTTGGAGAGGTTTGCGCTGGCCGCGCGCCGCGCTCTTGGACACGTGGGTGGCTCCGGGCTCCGGACTCAGCAGCGACTGCCCCCGCCCGTGGTGGGCATCCCAAGCCAAGGAAGAATTAAAGCCGGCCTCAGCGTCTGGCAGCCGGGGCGCACGGTCTGGGAAGGGGCCCTTGGCGATGTTCTCCGGGACGAACGGGTGGCGAGTGACAGGGCACCTTGACCAGCACACTCAGCCGGAGGCTCCGGAACCTCCGAGCTCGGCGCTGAAGGCGGAGATGGGGGGCAGGAGGTCTTGAGAGGGAAAGGGAGGTAAGAGCAAGTCGCGAGGACGCGACGAGGTACCGGGACCCGGGCGCACAGTGTGGGCCCCAGTCGGGGCTGCGGGTAGCCGCCCCCCTTCCCCCATCTTGGGGAGGAGCCCGGACGTTGCGGGAGGATTGCCAGAGATCACCGAACAAAGGGAAGAAGCCAAAGGGACGGCCGAGGAGCTGGTGACAGAAATCTGGGACAAGAAAGCGCGGAACGTACAAGAAGCGGTAGGAGCGCGGAGGAAAAGTCATCAGAGAGGTAGAAAGGCTGGAGGTGTGGGAAAGGAGGAAGCAAAGAGGAATGGAGTAGTTGACTAACAGATGGAGCTGAAAGTCTAAGTAAACCGAGCTCCAATGAAAGGGAAGTGACTCATCCATATCCACACTCTTGGCCACTGGCCAAATGGAGCCAGAATCTTGTCATCAGGATTACGAGCTTGTGCCTTTTTATTTTGCTTGTTGAGTGGAGGAGTTAGCGACCAAATTTCTTTGTGGCTTGCTTTCTCTGGGTTCAAACAGTGGGTTTTGGGGAAAGTGACAACACCCTGATCAGATTTTCCTAACGTGTGAATAACAGCATTGCCATAAGCAATTTTCATGCTTAATATATTTCATTTTACAGACTGTTTTATATCAGGAGTTTTAGTCATCTTGATAAAGCAAGCAAGCTCCAAAGGGTTTCAGAAACCACAATCCCATTCCTCTACACTGCAGGTAACAATACCCATTTTTATAGATAAGAAAATAGATCCAGAACATCTGTACCAAGCCAGGCAATTGCAAGTAGTCCAGTTGTGACTGAAACCAAGATATTCCTGTTCTAAATTTCTTCCTCTAGCCCCAGTATACCACACTGGGTAGGAATGGCCAATGATATACCAGTTTTTGGTTCCTGGTATATCATCTTAGGTTCTCTCTCCAAGACAACATCTCAGTTTCCCCGTTCATTTAGAAAACAGAAAGTCTGAATCAAAATCACTGCCAGGAGGTTGGTATATAGATTCTTGGTCCTATGCTAGACTCCCTGAGTCAAAATACTTGGAGTTGAGGGTCCGAGAACGCACATTTTAAACAATCTCCCTTTAGAGTAGTTTCTGCAGGGTCTTATTACGCATTAAATTTTATAGGAATTCAACCACTGTGTAAACTAGAGGGAAATTAGCCTTTTTAGTCCAAAACTTTACCAAAAGTTGTGCACCATTTTGGAAAATCACATCATCAATGGTCACATGACTCATGCTATTGTCAATATAACACACTTGTATTTGACACATTCGTGGTTGAGTCTACCCAGATGTGCAAGCATCCAAATACTGCTTTATGTCATGAAGTTAATAATATCAGATCATTTATATATTGAAATACACATTTAATTATAATGACTTTCTTTTTATTTCTTTATCTTACTGTCAAGAAATTATACTGATTTTTAAAAATGCGTGTATTCATTTAAAAAATTATCTCTGAATTTCAGTATAGTAACATGAACATTATAAAAAAAAAAGTGACATCAGGTCTGAATGGGATTGAGAATCACTTCTGTAGATGATCATATACACACTAAAGTTTGGTAAGACTGCGATCTAACCCCAAGTTTTACTTATTTAAATATGATCTTATTAGATCTAGGGGCCAAAATAGTTTCCAGTGGGATATCTTTTTTTTTTAAGATTTTTTTTTTTTTAAATTCATCTGAGAGACAAAGAAAGAGAGAGAGAGCAGGAGCAGGGGAAGGGGGAGAGGGAGAAGCAGACTCCCTGCTGAGCAGGGAGCCCGCCACGGGGCTCCATCCCAAGACCCTAGCATCATGACCTGAGCAGAAGGCAGACACTTAACCAACTGAGCCATCCAGGCGCCCCGCCAGTGGGATATATCTTACACTTTCAAGTTCTTAATGGAAGCCTGGAAAAACCCCAGATTCCCTTATCAGGCTTTGTCGGACCACAGCTACTAAGTAAGGAAGATACTATAAGCTGACCTGTCTTGGAAAGAGTTCTCTGCAGCTGAGATTTCCTAGCACTATGATTAGTAGGTCCTTTCACACTATCAGAGCAGAAGGGAATTAAGCACTGTATCAAATATGGGGTGTGTGTGGGGAACATTTATTAGACCACTAATATGATCTTGGCATTGTGCTATGCTCTTAGCACACGTTCTTACTTCCTCTAAGGTACTTATTATCATTGTCATTCTACAGACTAGGAAATTGAAGATAAGGGAGGCTAAGCACCCGATTTTAGACAGCTAGTAATGGATCTGGGTCTATCTGACTTTGAAGGCTATTCTTCCCAGAGCACAATGCTGGTAATCTGAAATTCTTAAAAGCCATAATTGATTTGTTCTTTCTGTAGATTATAAAAATGTAAGCTTCTTATAGTACTCCTCTCCCCAAAAAACTCACCTGTAATAAAACAAAATATAAGCAGCAAGAAATTACCCCCAATCTTACGCTTAGAGAAAACTACCGTTAATATTTTAGAGAAGCTTCTTTTAGATGTCCTCTCTGTACACATCTAGATGCATTTATGTACATAAATGCATTTTTAAAACATAAATGGAATACTGTACATCATGTTTTTGAATCCTATTCACTCAATATAAAATAGATATCTTTTTCCTTTTTTGTCAATAAAGATATACATTCCATTTTAAACAACTAGTATCCCATTATATACAAAATAACATATTTATCCTATCCCTTATTGAAAAAAACTTTTTATATTCTAAGCAAAATGTTTCATATATGTTTGCTATGTGTATTTTCTTTCTTTTGGTGGGGGGAGGGGCAGGGAAAAAGAGAGACTTTTTTTTTTTTTAAAGATTTTATTTATTTATTTGAGAGAGAGGATGAGAGGAGAGAGAGAGCACATGAGAGGGGGGAGGGTCAGAGGGAGAAGCAGACTCCCTGCTGAGCAGGGAGCCTGATGCGGGACTCAATCCCGGGACTCCAGGATCATGACCTGAGCTGAAGGCAGTTGCTCAACCAACTGAGCCACCCAGGCGCCCAGAGAGAGAGAGAGACTCTTAAGCAGGCTCCATACTCAGCGCGAAGCCCAACATGGGCCTTGATCAGGGCCTGAGCTGAAACCAAGAGTCAGACCCTCAACCGACTAAACCACTCAGGCACCTGAGACTATTCATTTCTGTTCTAAAGGACAGGAAAAACAAAAAGGACATATGAAACTCATGTGTTAAGTGTAATGGGAAAGCAAATAGCTTATGAGATAGAACTGTTTAGATGTGTTAAGTACAGAAAGCATACTGTAAGACACGATAAAGATAGAATGGAAAATATATATAGAAGGGATGGAACAAACAAGAGGGTTACTAACTGAAAATAATGGAAAGGCCAAGGTGTAAGTTAAGATACCACCTTCGGGCCAATAACTACATTATCCCCCCAAATGCTGTTCGTTGTTGACACCCATCCTGGCCCCATGGATGTTCTGCTTCAGAAAAACAGAAAGCATGGCTCACAGCAGACCTCTAACCAGGCATACTTGCCCTGCACATTTCTGATAGAAGAACGTTTTGGCTCTAGGCACCCCTCTATCTGCTGAGCCCCCTTTCCATTTTCAGCTGTGGTCCTTATAACCGCACTATCAGAAGTGAAGGTCGATGCAGCAGACGGGACATAAACACTGCATAACACAGGATTCAGGTAATAGGGTCCTCCCAGCTCCCTGGCACCTTATCCTAAATGTCTTAACCGTCACTGACTCCTATTGAAAAGTGATTCACTAAACTATGTGATTTTGAGCATCTTAATTTGGGCTGTGGCGTTTCCTGTCCATGACATACAGGATAGCCTGTCTGATAGTGTATTTGGAGGTTACCACTGCATCGAGATAACTTTCTGCATGACATCACACGTGGATCGTTGCACACATGTGCAAATATTTCCATAGGAATAAATCCTAATAAACCAGTTTCAGTAAGTTAGCACATTTTAAATGTTGATGCTATATTTTGTTATACCATTCTCTTGAAGTTATTCCAATTTACACTCTCATTAATAGGGCACAAAAATGCATATTTTCCCATACCCTTGCCCAAACTAGCAGCTATTGATCTTCAAATAGCTTCCATTTTAATAGGTGAAGAGTGTCTCCCCCTACACACCATTTGTGTGAATATTAGTAGGGCTGTTGGAACACCTTTCCAGAAACTGATCAGTTGTAGGAATTAAACTTTTTTTTCCCATTGTTTTCACCGGGCTTTCTTCGTGTTGAAATAACTTTCTAGGCCCAAGACAGAGTGTTCAGAATGCCACATCAGCAACCTGAAACTTAAGATAACTTTTGTGTCCTTGTAAATGCTTTGCCTGACCAGAAACACAGTATATCCAGTCAGCCAATCCTCAAATGCCAAGCCAGTTTGGGCTCTGTACTTATTTCCTCTTCCTCCTCACTCCAAAC